TCCAGGATCGGAAACTTGAATTTCGGTGATGCGAGTTGTGAAGGGCATTTTCCAAGCCTCCTCAATTAGTTGGTTGATCTTTGGGGTGGTGCTAGTAGCATGATGTATTTGAGATTTCACCATTCTAACTTCTACTACAGTTTTCATGAGATGATTGCGGAGATCGTGAATCTAAAAATCTTTGCTAATAGATTTCTGACTGTTATGGTATTTTTGTGTAGGGTCGTATTAGTACTACGGAACAGGTACAAGAAGGTTTTTAGGAACCAAGGAGAAATCAAAGTGAAAAAAATAGAGAAGGAGACATAGTATTGAGTATTTTGAAGGGGACTACAATGTTTGGTGTATGAACCCTAATTTTAGCCGCCTAGATCTAGTCTCTCAATGTCTAAAGTGTCGATCCCTTATTCTAGAGTTTGGGTTCCCCTTTTATAGGTGTAGATGTCGGCTTTCATTAGGTTAAACCCTTCCATATTGGCGAATATGGAAGAATTCTCTTAAGTGGAGAACTTTCCATTTTATCCAAGGGTCGGTTTTGGAGCAGGGGTTGGGCCCGGGGAACCTGGATGCAAGGTTCGGGCCCTGGGTTCCTTCGGAGAAGGGGTCTAGAGGCCGGTGTCCAGCCCAGAAGCTGGAGGAATCTGGTGCCTGGATATTTTTTCCTAACAGTTTTCCCCTTATTCCCTGATTTCATCAAATGAAATCAAGGGATAAAGTGTGTCTAGGTTGACCGTAGTCACTTTATCAGCAGATTCTCCTTAAGTAAGGCATCGCTCTAGGCGCCCTGTTCTCTAGGTCCTTATTAGGCCGGAACTGTGTTTGGGGCCTGGAGTAAGTCGTATTCCCCTTGGTAAACCCTTAAATATAAACCATAACCCCTAGACTATAAACTCTAAACCCTAAATCCTAAACCTTAAACCCAAAATTGTAAACTTTGAACCCAAGTATTGTTCGATGGTAGAGAGGGTTTATAGTTTTGGGTTTAAACTTTAAGATTTAGGGTCTAGATTTTATACTTAGAGTTTAGAGTCTATGATTTAGGATTTATGGTTTAGAGTTTAGAATTAGGGTTTAGGATCTTGGATTTAGGGTTTATGATTTAGGGTTAATGTTTTGGAATTTACAGTTTAAGATTTATGGTTTAGAATTTAGGGTTTAATATTTATGGTTTATAATTTAGAATTGAGGATTTAGAGTTTAGAGTTTAGAATTTATGTTTTAGGGTTTTGCAGACGGCATTAATGTATTTTTTTTCAGCTATTTTTTTTGTTTATAATTTTACTATCATTTTCTTTTAACTTATCTTACGTAACAATTTGATTGGTTATTAAAAGTGATGTGAATTTAACCATTCACCACATGGGATGAACCTAAGTATTGTTCTTTTGTTTTCTTCTTCTAGGCTTAAAAAATCATTTTAAGTTTTAGTATTTATTTAGATATTCTTGAGAAAGAGCAGATAAACAGTTCATGATGAAAGGTCTAAACTGGATCAGTCACAAGGAATCGACTCGCCTTAATTCAAGTGGTAAAGACATTCCGGCTGAAACTTCCCCACCTGAATTTGAATTGCCTTGACTACCTAGCCAAGTTGAAATTCTAAACTTTTTTTCATCTTCAGAAAATTATTCTTAACAACCTAAAAACATATACAAAAGAATTCATAAGCCGACTAATACATAATATCATCAAAGCTAGAATTTAGATAAACACCAGAACCAAAACTCGGACACTCCAAGACAATGAAAACATAACTAAAGAATTTAAAACATAAACCTAAAAAAAAACTTCACCTATATCTAAATTAGCCACGGAAAAATACCTAATTAAACTCTTAGATTATTAAGCAGTTGGAACATGTCACAGAAAAGATAACTCTTAAGACACATTGACAAAGCCAAGAAAGATCTTACATCCGACCTTTAAGCCGCATTGACAAACAACCGGTAGATACACTAAACCAAGAACCCGAAAACAAAGTTTCCTTAACTAAAAGAGAGTGATTATAACTACGACACAAAATCATCAAAGAACCACCAAAAAAAAGACTTGAAACTTAACATGCTGATACATAGTGATGAAATCCATTCACATGCACCTCAACATAAGACCACTAATTTGAATCACTTTGGGATCTAGCGAATCACTGGAGAACAAAACAATTGAGCAAAATTTACTACAATATATAGCCGAAAACAGATCTACAAAGGTGATGGGAGAAATGAAAGACTAAAACCAAATGAACCTTCAAAAAGTCTGAAAAGAGAAGACATGAAAGTATGAGTCAAACTGTTTGACCTCTGATATCACACTTGAAGAGTTGCTTACCAGCTCTGAAGAAAACTTTAACCTCAAAGTATGAACCGGCTAAGTCCTTCACCATGAACCAGACCACAAATTTGAAATTGATCAAACATCTTAAACCAAGCAAAGGAGGAAACAAGAGACTGAAGATTCACCTCATAACCATCTCCATCCACTGGAATACCCTAAAATAGCATGCAAACTCTATAAACTCTCTAATGGTGCCGACAAACTCGTCGGACACTAAACACCAAAGAGAAGAAATCAAATTTCATTTTTTTTCTTTCTCTCAAGGCCGCTAAGGAGAACTGCTTTTGACTTTTGCGAACTGTTCTGACTTTAGCGAACTACTTTTCAATTATAATCATTTGTACGCTTAGACTAGTTGGTAAGCTAATTTATTTGACCAGTACCATACTTTATATATTTTTTAATGTGAACCAGATGAGCTAACACATGCAAGCTCCCAAGGTTCATCACAAGAAACTGGTGGAAAGGATCCTTATATATCTTAGTGGAACTTCAAGTCAAAACAGTTTGGAGGGGATGCAATGGAAACTTTGAAGTTCTTGTGATGTTGACTGGGCAAAAGATATAACTGATAGAAGATCAACCACATGCTATTGTACTTTCATTGGAGGCAATCTTATCACTTGGAAGAGAGTAAGAAGCAGAAGGTGGCCTTATGCTCTAATGTTAAAGCTGAATATAGAGAAATGGGGAAGCTCACAAGCGATATTATTCTGGATCAAAGGACTTCTCAAAGACTTAAGTATAAAGATTACCTCTCCACTCACAATTCATTGTGAAAACCAGGCTGCCATTCACATAGATTTAATTTAGTATTTATGTGAGAAAAAAACACACAGAAGTGGATTATCACAAGGTGAAAGAGATGGTGATACAAAGTATCCTCTTGCCATGCTACACTAGGAGTAAAGAATGTATTGTCACCAAAGCTGCAAGTACAAAGGTGTGTGAGTCTATCATACAAAGCTTAGACTCATAGACATCACTCGGCCATAATCCCTTTAGCCATGAAGGCTCTACTCTTTTATTTAGAGTGTTTTTTGTCTCATTGAATTTTTCATAGTAAGCTTTTAATGAGAGAATTTTTATAGTCCCCAAACTTGACCTATTATGATGGGAAGTATTGACATGAAGAAATGAAAAGAGAAAACATATGAACAAAGCATACTTCATAAGGCCTCACAAGACTTACTAGAGTTCACCACCCTTTACAAGATTTGGGGTTAAAAAAGATTTGAATTTTGAATTTAAATCTGATATAGGTGTTGGGGATTAATGGAAGCTTTTGTCCATTGTGTTCTTCAATCAATTTTTTCTATCTTGTATGTGTATATAAGTGTTTGTATGTAGAACTTAAAGAACTAATGAATAAGAATCCTTCTTCTCTTTTCTCTCTTGTTATAAACACATTCTTTTCTCTCTCTCTTTATTCAAACAAATTTAATACTCTCTATTTTGTTCTGGAAAGTTTATACTCTGTTTTTGATTAACTTACAGATTTAGATTTTTAGAGAGTCGTTGATTCAGTCATTGGTCTCCTGCCATAGTAGACTAGTGGTGATTTAGGTTATGAATGGAAGGGCAGAACAAGTGCAGATCTCTCGCTCATGCAGTTCTCTTGCACTGTTTTTGTCATTCATCTTTTTATGTTTATAAAAGCAGTTTAAGCGGGAGATATGCATGCAGTTCAATATATTCTGTCTTTTTGTAAAAAAAACAGGAGATCTGCATGCAGATCACACCCGCTAACATTTGAAGGGGTTGATCTGCCTTTTTCACTAATAAATGATTTTGCTATAAACACTAACTTTAAATATATTTATCTGATATTATTAATAATGTACAAAGATTAACTCAAACTATATAGTTCATACTAATATTATTTGTGTCATTTTAAAATTATAAACATGACGTTCAGTCACCTATAAAACACAACATTTTCCAAATAAAAAGACATAATTTTTCCTACATAAAACGAGTATTTTATTAAGCTGTACAATATTTTTTCAACAAAAAAGATACAACTCTTTGTATTTAAATATCAACAAAGATTTTAATATTAGTAATCTATCAGTTCTTCAAAGACAATTTTGATCAACTAAAACAGAAATAGAAGAAGTACAACTATCTTATGAAAAATTCAATTAACATTTCGACTGATCTTACAACATTAAAGATATTTATTTTGATATTTTGGTATAATCTTTTATTGTTTAAATAAATGATCTATTGTTTTAAACTGATTTTGTCATTCATAATTTATAATAAACTGTTTGATCTGCATCTCTTTTGCATGATCCGCTTGATCTGCACTTATCCCACTTGATCTGCACTTATCCTGTTTGATCTGCATGAACCGCTTAATCTACATCACTTGATCTGTTTTTATCATTAGAAGCCTTAGTAGTTTGCGTCAAGTTGCTTATGTGTAAACTTTAAATTTTCACTTAAAAACCATAAAATATCTGAAAATCAAAAATTTGGACAAACTCCCTCTAGATATAGATACAACGTTAATATATACAAGAGTATAACTAGCTTGCTTATAATTATTTGTATCTCTACATTCATATTCTTTGTATTTTANATCATTAGAAGCCTTAGTAGTTTGCGTCAAGTTGCTTATGTGTAAACTTTAAATTTTCACTTAAAAACCATAAAATATCTGAAAATCAAAAATTTGGACAAACTCCCTCTAGATATAGATACAACGTTAATATATACAAGAGTATAACTAGCTTGCTTATAATTATTTGTATCTCTACATTCATATTCTTTGTATTTTATTCAGTTGCAGTTTTAGGAGAGAAAAAGGTTTAAGAACAACTAAAACATGCTCTTTTCTTCAATCCTCATTTTTAACTCCTGAGAAAAGACCAAGGTCCTGTTCCTGTCCCAATCCTGTTACAGATCCAATCAAGTTCTGTTAAAAAAAAACATTACAAAAATATTTTACATTTTTAAGTACCAAAAACAGAGAGATTCATAGTTGTTTTACCGCCAGAATCCAACGGCTGCTCTAAGACTCATGTAAATGGTTAGACCGAACCAAAGACCAATAAACCCGTGAGTCGACGCTAGAAAGAGCAAACACAAAACGCTAACTATAGCCACCATAACTAGCGAAGCTGCGGCATAGCCAAAATCAGATGCTCCGAAGTTTATACCATCGAATACAAACGCTAAGGCATTGATTGGTTGTGTCCCTGCCACAAACTTCAGGAATACAAAAACCGGTTTTTAGCTACAATGTTATGACATAATCTTCGTTTGATTAGAGGTTTTAAGGGGAAATTAAAATTACTTACTGGAAGTCCTATGCTAATGCGATGTAAGACTTTATCATCTTTGGTGAATAGTCTTGCTCCAAAATGCAATCCTGCTCCAAGTATAACCGCGAGTAGAAACCCGAGAACCAGTCCCAACTGTCACAAACCATATCTTACTTTGAAACTGATCGAAAACGGAATCTTTATGTTGGAAGCCAGAAAACTTAACACTTTCTATGCTTAGGTCATAAGAATGCATACCTGCAATACACGTGAGGCAGTAGCTGCAGCTCTTTTGTAATCTTTTTTGGCAAACGCATTCGCTAGTATTGCCTTTTAAAAAGACCATTTATTCAAATGTAGAACCGCTTCAATTGAAAAAAATATTGAATAAGGAGATAGAGAGAGAGCTCAATGGTTAAACCTGGCCAGCTACAGCGAACCCATCTGCAAGAAGTGAAGTTGCTAACCAAACCTGCAAGCAAACTTGGAAAGCTGCCATGGAAGTGGATCCTTCTCGTGCAGCTAGTGACGCGGAAAGTGTTACACAAAATGTCACCGCAACTACTCTCATCAGTAAAAGAAAGCCTAAGAGACAAGAACCACACAAGAAAACAATAATCAAACGTTGTTACTCTACCAGAGATCTCACAATGAAAATTTCAAAGTATTTGCAAATACCACTTTTCATGAATCTACAGAACTGAAGATGTTTGGTACTCAGGTTAAAGATATCAACTTGACCCATCAGTTTCCACAAGAGTATTCCACACATAAGGTACCTGAAAATGAACATATAAACCACTAGTTATAACTTATAAGAGAACATATAGCACTTTTAAGAGAAAACATAAGGCATCTCAAAATATGAAACTGTAAACTCACTGGGATATAACATGAGCAGTGGCTGCTCCTGTAACGCCTAGACGAAAAACGAATATGAAAATCGGGTCGAGTATTATATTTGTGACATCTCCAATAACTGTAGAAGAGATTAAAAGTGAATCATCAGCTTTGTTCTGTTTCAAGGACTTCCACCATATTACAAAACATGGCATATTACCCGTTGCGTATAATGGAGTTGTAGTGTCTTTAAATCCACGGAAAACACCTTGCGCCGCAAGCGAGAGAAGAACAGCTGGTGCACCAAGTGATCTTAGAGATAAATATCTCTGAGAAGGTCCTAACATTGGAGAATCCTGTAACAATTTGAAAAATGTTTAAAAGACTTCTGTCTCAATAAAATTCTATATGTATGAGCCAAAAAGATCGACACTTTACATGTTTAACTCCCATGAAACTCAAGAGAGGTTTCGCTGCGGATATTAGAAACAGAGCTTGAAGAAGGCCAAGAACGGCTCCAATGATTAAAGCAGATGAGGCTGATGGTATTTTTCTTTTCTTGACTGGAGATTTAACTCTAAAGATACTGCTACCCATTTTATTTTCATCTGGCATGGAATCTGAAGGAAAGATCAAACAAACTTGTGATTAATGTTCTTCAAGAAATCAAATAATCAAAGTAGTGATGATGTTACAAAGAATATATATATATATATATATATATATATATATATATATATATATATATATATATATATGTGTGTAAGTGTACCTTTATTGTTTCCAGGAATTAGTTCTTGAGTTTCCTCCTTTGTGTTCTTAATACCAGTTTCAATACATTCTTTATGATCTTGGACTGTGTTTTGATCAGAACTACAAGCATCTTCCTCTGCTACAAAGGAAGTTGTGATGCTAACGAGTGGGAAAATAGCAATTCTTGAAACTTGGTTAAACAAAGCAATTGAAACTCCAACTGCAGCAAGCTCTACAGGACCTGTAAGTCATCACCAAAACAAGAAACCGCAGAGTAAATCAAATGATTTCCAACTTGAAACAAAAATAAGCATATGATCAAGACTTGTGTTTTTTTGTGTTGGGTTGTTATTAATACCAATTTGGCCTATGAAGGCTGTGTCCACCAGAGATGCAATAGGATCAGCTGTTAAGGCAAGTGCTGCAGGTAAAGCTATTCTTGCTATCTCCAAACCGAGCTCATCAAATTTAAAAACTGATCTGATACATCAAAGAAAATCAAATTTCAAGTTTATTCTTGATCAAATAAAAGAAAACAGAAATTTTACAAAAACAATGGTTATACCTGAAATCACTTAGGAAGATGCAAAGAGGGTTTCTTGGAAAATCACAAGGAGTTTCTTTGGTGTAGCCATCTTCAGACATCATTAAAAGATGTTACTGAAGTTTTTTTGTGTGTTCTAAGTTTCACAAGTACATGAAAGAATGTATGTGTGCGTATACAGAATCTAGCAAAAGTAAATGATTCTCAGTTAGTTAGGTGCCTTTTCATTAGATACCCCTCAGAATAAAAGAAACAATTTAATTAATTATTTTTAAAAAACTATGTGTTTTAACTCTAACCACACATTACATTTTACCTTTAGACCCCAAACTCCAATTGATTGTTGATTCTTGCCGTGTGTCAAGAACTCTAGACGGTTCCAGAAAAAATCCCGAAAATCACCAACAATTTTGATTTGATAACTAAAACATTTTTCTCTCTTTAAATAGAAAATGAGAAAAACGTAATAGTAAAAAAAACTAGAGAATATTACACTAAAGATAATATGAAGAATTTTGGTTATAACAAAATTTATGTCTGTTTTTTTTTTAAAAAAACAAAATTTTATGTCAATTGAAAGTTTGGTTAACGTCAATTACCAAAAACAAAATCTACAAAGTTTGGTGTCCAAGAGACAGAAAACTACCCAACAAAATTATGAAACTTGTATTATAAAAAGTTTCTGATATAAGCAAAACATCTATGAAATTAACTTCAACCCAAAATGTGTAAGAACTAAACATGTGATTATATGACTTAAGGAAAAAGAGACATGTAGCTTAAGAAGATCACACCTGTTTTATATGAACCAGAAGAGGTCAATAATGTGTCTTTTTCTCATTTTTATGAAACAATCTCAGCACCTCAGCTATTTTTATTTTTTTTGTTCTCTGCCAGTTTGTAATATGTAAACACTAGACTTTGAACAAAAAAGTAGATTGATTGTGCCGCGGATAAATGGTTTTCCAAATAGCTTTCAGTGGATATGAGCCAGATGATGAAAAGGTATCTCAACAAGGACTTGGAAAGTTGACAAACAACAAAATAATTAAGGAGTTGGCCAAAACAAAACAAAACAAAAAGGAATTTGGAAAATAAATGGCTAAGAGAAGCCGATGGGTGAGATAGGAGATGGAACGTGTTTTAAGGTTAAACATTGGAGAATAATTTCATTTTTTAGATGGGAAATTCGCCTTAAGGAAATATCAGTTAAAAATATGTAAAGCTTTCCATAATTTTCAAAATTCAAATAATTGACTTTGGTAAACTATATAGGGATCCTATGCCCAAGTTTGCAATTTCTTACAAAAGTTATTATTTTTTTCTAGTTTTTCAAAATTGTACAGTTTAGCCTAATTTTATTACATTCTTTAAAATCTAACACTATTAAAAGAGAAATATGAGAGCCTCTGAGATTACCCACGTAAGCCAAGAAATTCCACCAATGAGAAGTTGCTATTTTGCCACGTCATCTATATTATGTCATGTTTGAGCTTCGATTTTGTTAGTTTTGGCCTGGTGTTTCATTTTGTCTCAAAAGAAAAAAGACTATTACTCTTCTATTTTAGTTTAGAGATAGAGTTTCTCATCAAACAAAACACTACAGACGGTTATTTTTAACAGGAGCAGATCTCATCCAATCATCGACTTCTGCTTCTTATGTTGCTCAAGCCGTCTGCAACTTGACCTTTGACGCTCTCGCACTTGGTTGGACTTATCGATGCACCATCTCTCCTCTCCTTAGCTTCTTGGATTCATCATCTCATCACCTTTCTCTTCCTTGATGAAAAGGTATCGTACCTTTTACTCACTCACGAATCGTGTAGTTCAACTCTGTCTCATGAAGCCTCAGTCATGTCTGATTTTATTGTTCTGCCTTCATACCAATTAGACTGGGAAAAACTCTTGCTTCTGCAGGAAACATTATCTGAATTCCACACCAGTTACCTAATTTACTTTTACACTACTATTTCTGCAATCAAAGAGTTCATAAGAAAGTGACAATAAATATTGTCTTAGCTTAAACTCATCTTCAAAGGTATGTTAATATTTGTCTAAACATTTGTGGTTCTTGAATTTTGGGCGGTGCAACAACAGAGATTACCCTTGTGTAGATACCAGACCATGGAAGGGACCAAAAAGAAAGAATATTTGTCAATTGGAGAACTAAACATGTACATTTCCTACTCTAACGACCAGGTACACTCAGTCTTTGAACACATTGCGGCCTATGTGGATTAAAAATAGAAACAGTAAATGGTTACTTTCTTGTCTCTGTTAAGACATATGAAGCTGATTTTATTTGTAAGCTCGGACTGTTGGGGTCCTCCAAGATAGTGGATTGTCATATGTTTTCTTTTTAGGTTTCTATATCACTACAAGAAAACTAAGAAGTTACTACGAAATTTTACTAGGAAAATAATTCCTCGTAAATTTACTACGAAATTACTTCGACATTACGAGGAAACAAATTTTCCTCGTAAGGTCCTCGTACAGGTACGAGAAAAATATTTACTCGTAACACCGTAGTAACGTTACGAGGAAATTACGTGGAAATAGTACATTTTCTCGTAAGCCCGTAGTAAGTCAATTTCCTTGTAAAGTCCTAGTTTAGAATTACTACGAAATTAAGAGGAACATATTTGTTACTACGAACTTAGGAGGAACTGGATAGGAAATATCAAATTTAAATCAAAAATATGTTTTGTACCTACATTTCCTAGCAATTTCCTAGTAAATGCTCAGATTGGAAAATTTCTATAAATACCACAATTGCGATTCATTTGAAACACACCAAAAAATAATCAGCTATAAGCTTGATCAAACACAAAAAAATGTCCGGTCCGGGAAATATTTTCGAGTTGCGGAAGTGGATGTATTCACACAGAGATAATAACGGGAGGGTGACGAAAGAATATCTCGAAGGGTTGGAGACGTTTATGCATCAAGTAGATTCTACACCACTCACGCAGGAAAGTGGTAAGATGTTATGTCCTTGTCGAAAATGCTGCAATACAAAATTAGGCCATCGTGAAAATGTTTGGAAGTATTTAATAAATAGAGGTTTCATGCCATATTATTATATTTGGTATCAACATGGAGAAGACGATGCTAGTTGTACGAATGAAGGTAGCAGTAGTAATAGCAATTTTCAGGTTGAACCGGTTGATCATTTGCGTAATGAAAATAACTATCATCACCAAGAGGAACAAATGGTAGATTGTGACAGGGTTCATGATATGGTAGGTGATTCATTTGTAACTCATGATGATGAAGTTGAAGAACTTAACTTAGATGCAAAAAAGTTTTATGAAATGTTAGATGCTGCGAATGAGCCAATTTATAGTGGTTGTAGAGAAGGTCTGTCTAAATTGTTGTTGGCTGCTAGAATGATGAGTATAAAACCGATCACAATCTACCTGAAAATTTTACGGATGCATGGGTAGACTTGTTTAAAGAGTATTTGCCAGAAGACAATGTGTCTGCTGAATCTTATTATCAGATTCAAAAATTGGTATATAGTCTTGGGTTGCCCTCGGAGATGATAGACGTTTGCATCGACAACTGCATGATTTACTGGGGAGATGATGAGAAATTAGAAGAATGTCGATTTTGTAAGAAGCCACGATTCAAACCGCAAGTTCGAGGGTGTAATAGGGTACCGTACCAAAGGATGTGGTACCTACCAATCACAGACAGATTGAAATGATTGTACCAATTTGAGGAGATTGCTGGAGGGATGAGATGGCATGCCGAGCATACTCAGACGGATGGAGAGATGACTCATCCATCAGATGCAAGAGCCTAGAAACATTTTAACAATGTACATCCACATTTCGCTAGCAATAGCCGGAATGTGTATCTTGGATTATGCACTGATGGATTTAGTTCATTTGGAATGTCTGGGAGACAATATTCATTGTGGCCGGTCTTTCTTACACCGTATAACCTGCCACCGGAGATGTGCATGCGATGAGAGTTTCTATTCATATTAATACCTGGTCCAAAACATCCAAAAAGATCTCTCGAGATTTTTCTACAACCACTGATAAAAGATTTGAAAGATTTGTGGTCAACAGGGGTGAGGTCATATGATTGTTCAACGAAAACAAACATTACGATGCGAGCGATGCTTTTGTGGACCATAAGTGACTTTCCTGCATATGAGATGTTGTCTGGGTGGACTACACATGGGAGATTAGCTTGTCCATATTGTAATAGAAGGACATATGCGTTTCAGTTGAAGCATGGTGGGAAGACTAGTTGGTTAGATTGTCACCTTCGATTTCTTCCTGTTTACCACCCATACCGAAGAAACAAGAAATTGTTCAGGCACAAAAGGGTTGTCAGAGACACTCCTCCTCCATATTTAATTGGAGAACAAATCGAAGCGCAAATCGATTACTATTGTGCTCTAGAAACATCTCCGTGTGGTGGGAATTGGCATGTTCCCAGTAATATGCCTGATTCTTATGGTGTTCAGCACAATTGACACAAAGAGAGTATATTTTGGGAATTGCCATATTGGAAAGATCTTCTTTTGCGCCACAACCTCGATGTGATGCATATAGAGAATAACTTTTTTGAGAACATTGTGAATACTATATTGAATGTCCCAGGGATGACGAAAGACAACGTAAAATCAAGGTTGGACTACCCGATATCTGCTCAATGACTGAGCTACATATAAAAAGCAATGGGCAAAATCTAGTTCCAATATTCAGACTGTCATCAGAAACAAAGTCTGCGTTGTTCAACTGGGTGGCTTCAGAAGTGAAGTTCCCTGATGGGTATGTTTCAAATCTCTCAAGATGTGTTGAGAAAGGGCAAAAGTTCTCCGGGATGAAGAGTCATGATTGTCATGTCTTTATGCAGCGACTACTTCCCTTTGCATTTGCGGAGCTACTACCGACAAAAGTACATGAAGCACTTTCAGGTAATTAATTAATATAATACGATGATATGATTAATTTATTTCTATATATATATATACTAATGTGAATAATTTTTGTTTTTGTAATATATAAGGAATTAGAGCATTTTTTAGGGATCTGAGCACCCGCAGTCTTAAAGTGGAAGTTGTCCAACAACTTCATGAAAACATCCCCGTCTTAATCTGCAACTTGGAGAAAATAGTCCCGCCTATTTTTTTCGACGTCATGGAACACCTAGTTGTCCACCTCCTATATGAGGCATTACTTCGTGGACCCGTGCATTATGGGTGGATGTATCAGTATGAAAGGGCCATGAAAACTTTGAAAGGAAAAGCCAAAAACCTAGCAAGAGTTGAAGGTTCTATTGTTGCGGGAGGTTTGCGGAAGAAACATGACATTTCACACCGTACTACTTTGCACCGAAAGTACGTACAAGGAAACGAGCTCCAAGAAGATATGATGATGGTGGTGTCGTGCCGACATATATAGAAGACGATGTTCCAGACATCTTTTCTCAAATTGGACAATTGGGTGGGAAATTGAAAGAGGTTTGGTGGTCGAGTGATGAAGACGTCCATAGTTCACACCTTTATATTCTCCTTAATTGCGAGCATCCATTGATTGCTTATTTTGAAAGGTAAATATATAAACATACACACTTATATATATATATATATATATATATATATATATATATTTCAATATTAAAAATATAACATAACATATATGATTTTACAGCCAATTTGTGATTCAAGTCGAAGAAGCAATACATGGTATATCGATAACTGAGTTAGACAAAAGGAAAGATCAACACTTTATCAAGTGGTTGAGGAAACATGTATTTATTTATTACTTAAATTGTATGCATACATTATCATAAAGTAAGTCTAATGTCTAGTTATATTACTTTTTGTTGCAGGTTGATTATGACGATCCTAAGTACTCCGCAT